CGAAAATCACTTTTGAATTTTGAATAACTTCTTTTATTTTGGAAACTTGCTTTGTGTGAAAGATCTCTCCTTTTTATAACTAGGTAGGTAAACCACCCAACAGTGGGATAACTATCGAGGAACATTTACTAGCTTTTATTAAAAATATGAAGCAGAGTACAAAGGGAGAGGAGGAATAGGCCAAAACCTCTCCGAGAAGTCATTCTTTCCCAAAATACAACAATGCAGAAGAACAAAAGCATAAAAACAAAATGGGTGGCTAGGCCTGACCCATTTGAAAAAAAAATTAAAAATTAAATCTAAATATAGGAACCCCAATTAAATCCATGAAATAACCCTGTTTAGCCTTATTTGAAAGATCAGCGACTTGGATATATATTTGTTGTTGGGCCGTGTATTGAGTAGTAATGTTATGCGCAGTCCAATTCCCTTCACGCCATACATGTCCAAATGATATCCCTTTCCTGTTTGAGTGGACTAACATTTCCTTTATCGCTCCTCTCCAAAAACCCGCTTCATCTGCTCGAGTGTAACTCAGGGCCACAGAAGAGTCAGTTTCCACCACAGTCTTCGTAACCTGCTACAATCGCCTAGACAGTCACTATGATGTTTGTGAAAAGCTCGACTTGAAGTCTGGATCACAGATTCAAAGGGAAGGAAGGTAGCAAATATCATCTCGCAGTTACTATTCCTCATTATCGCACCTCCAGTTGCTTTATTAGGTAAATATGAAGCATCAACGTTTAATTAGAGACAGAGCATTTGGATTCTTCCATATGACTAGATGAAATCTCTCATTTAATGTCTTTAATTAAATATCTTTCCTTTAAAGAAAAAATTCCTTCTTTGTATGATCCTTGATTAGTTCCTTACTCAAAGAATCTCTTTGATTTAGCAAGACAAACACGATTTTGAGTGGATAGAAAAAATATTTTTAAGTAAGCCAAATTAATCAATCTTGGATTCACAAACAATTCTAGGACCAATTCTACGACTTGTTCCAGAGCACGACTTAAACTCTTTTTCTGCAATCACTTATAACCAGAAGTAACACTAGTTGTTTGTCATCAATAAAACAATACTTTCCAACAACCGGTTCTGAAATTGATAAAATAAAATTTGTGCCTTATTCCAGTGCATTAGGATATGTCATGTACCTTATGGTTAGTACTAGGTTTGACATTGCTTAATCTGTTACTTGCTTAAGTCACTACATGTCAAATCTCGTTTTGCCCCATTGAAATGCTCTCAAATTGGTGTTGAGATATCTAAAACCTAATGCGAGACATAGTTTGATAGTTGAGTTACCTGATGATATTTTGTTAAATGGCTATGTGAATTCTAACTATGCGCACGCTAATGATAGAGATAATAGGATGTCCACCACTTGTTATATTTTCACTTTTTGTGGATTTTTTTCATTTGGTGGAAGTCTGAATTGGAACCTATCATGGCACTCTCTACTTTTGTATATGATTATGTTGCCGCTACTTAAGCTTTTAGAGAAGATATTTGGCATATTCGCCTTAAAAAATCAGTGTTCCGTGACAACACAAAACTCATTGATGTAAGCTTTCATTTTATCCAAGAGATTGTGGATGCAGGTGATATCAAGTTGAACAAGATCTTGTTTAAGTTTAACCGTGCTAACAAGGGGACCATGTATCTCTCTATTGAAAAATTGTTATCTTTAAAACAAACTTTAAATTTGGACTATGGATAATTTATTGTTTTTGGTGCAGGTTTCTTACCTTGGGGTTGCGATTTGCCCCATGCTTGCACTGGGAACCTCGTGTTCTCTGTGTAGTTACTGTGTCTCTTGTATCTGTATGATTCAGAGAGTGTGTTGACCTATGGAGTGCATTGTGTATCTCCAATTGTTTCCCTAATTTATCTTTGAGATCGTATAGGCGACCCTACGATAATGAGTCTCTCCATGCCACTGTTATAGAATGTTAGAGGTATTAGTCCTATGGCATTGGCCTTCTATTTTCCTCTTTCCTGACTTGGGCTCGTCCATTTTGTAACCTGACTATAAACCATCTTTTTTTCTTTTCCCTTTGCCCTTTGCCCGGTCCCTTATAGCCGTTGCTTACTTACCTTATGGGTCTTGCTTTGGCCTACCTATCTATTTTCTCCTTTGTCGTTTGTTCTCTTGAGCCACTTCTGATAACCCTAGTTCTAGAGAAATCCTAGATAGAGAGAGTTTGACTGTCGCCCATCTCTCTTATTTCGTTCCTCTATTACTCCATGCGTGTGTGTTTCTATGTGAGTTCTAGAGTAAGGTTAGAAAAGGATCTCGATTGGGTTTAAGCTTGCTTTACCTTGGTGGTTTGTTCCCTTATTCTCGATATCATGTGTGGTGATTGTGAGTCTTGTACCTTCGAGGTACGTGTGATTGGAGACCTGAACTGTAAAATCTATCAACCTTAATTACAAAATCTGAAAGGGTGGAGGGGGATTGGTAGTGTTTTAAAACTCTAAAGTTTGGTAAGAAATTATTTTGAATTAATAGTGTACCAATTATGAATATACTTAAATTTGACTACTAAATAAATATGACATACACCATGTACCAATTATCAAAATATAAAAAAGTTTTTGTTGAATTTTCCCGACCATTTAATATACGCTCATAATTTCAATATAGTTTTATTGATGTCATCAATACAGTAACTGTAATCTAAATAGTGTATTATACTATCTCATAATATACACAGAATAAAGTCACACTATAATAATTCCAATCAAATTTGAATAATTATGAATTAGACAAGTCGACCTGATCACCATAAAATTTGAGTCATTGTATAGAAAATATGAAGAGAGAATTTGAACAACATCTGTAAGGACCAAATAAAATGTACTTCCTAACTAGAGTCTAGATTTGTAGATGCTCTACACGCATGTGAAGAAAATTGGGGCCCAAACACTCTTCTTAGGGGCACCAAGAGAGTGAAATTATAGAGTGAGTATATGTAATACAATATTCTCTCCTATGCTTTGTCTTCCATTATTGTATATCAAAGGAATCACAAGTGTTGCTTACATGAGCCCCACTAGCCGTTTAGAAGAATCTAATCTAATCTAATCTCAAACAAGTGGTGGACTTGAGGGAATTATTGCTTTAATTGGGTTTCCATGGAACTGTCCCCCTCATTACTCCTTTGACAATATTGCATTAATATGTTCTGTAAGTTCAAAGGATTTTGACTCATATTATTCATTGTTCTGTAAGAGTGATGTCTAATTATATGTCACTAAGCATATATCAGTGTTCCTTTCTTAGAGAATAATTTAAATAAATTATTATTCAGTTTTAAATCACTTGCAAATTTGTCCCTGTAACTAATTTTTTTTTATCTTAAATTTAAGGACCTTTCCACCGGAAAGTAAACTTTCCAGCAAAAAAATCCGTGGACAGACAACTCGTCTGTTGAGGACAGACGGGTGTACACAAAAGGTGTACACCAAACAAAGTTGTTAAAAAAATTCAGTATGTTTTTAATTGGACTGAAATTTTATGGTTTGATATGATCTAAACTAGTCTAGCCTCGGAATTTTCCTCGCGGATATTTAATCCAATTTTAATAATAAAAATTTCTATATTCGAAAACTACATAAACTCACACAATCCAAATCAAAATATAAAATAGAATCGATATGCTAAATAAGTAGATAAAGTGAAACTATGTTGTTAAAAAAATTGGCTTTGTAAATCATTTTGAGACAAAGAGTATAATATAGCCTGTTCTTCTCGACGGTTTTGAACAGTTCAGTTCCGTATGGTTATGGAATGATTCTTGGTAAAAAACCGGGTACCGTACCTTAACGTGTAAAAATTCGGCCCGACCCCATATGAATTCTGATACGGATCATAGTTCATCGGTACAGGATGGAAAATCTCAGATTTATGATCAGCCGTAGTCATTTTATTGTTAAAATGGCAGAAAATTAAAGTTAGATTTATGGTCAGGACGGTTCAACGTGCTATTGCGGTGCAAGTAAGCCGTGTTCTAATTCTAAACTTCTTCCAAATTTGCTTTCTCAATATTTATAAATATTACATATACTAGTCATACTACATCCGTTTTATATACTAGTCACCGAAGATTTATGATGTTCGACTGGATCCAAAATTATTTCTTCTTTGTTAGCACAAACTTCTTATGTCCCAATATGTTTAGCAAGTTAAAGTCATATTTTGTTGCAACCCATGGTAAAGTTAAACCTAATAATTAAATCAATTGTAATAATTAATTATTTTACATATTCAGAAACTATATTAAAATCTCTATAAAGTTGTAAAATTCAAACAAATTAGAATATAATTAATAATTAATAATTAATAATGATAAAAAAATAAAAAATTAATATCATAATTAAGTGAATAAAATGAAATTGTTTGACATAAAATTGTTGACTTTGCAAATCCATTTGAGACGGATGGAGTAAATTATTATTTGTGATTGCATCTTATATCTATGTGACATATACCCTATCTAGAGATTTCCCATGAGATTTGCCTGCTTTTCCTTTAATTTAGCACTTTTAAATGTTTTTTTCTCTTTCATGTAATTTATTTTATTTTGTCCCTTTTTCGCATTGTACTCTCAATTTTATCAATAAAATCTCTCTTTTCCAAAAAAAGGACATGTACCCTAAATTAAAAATCGGGTTGTACATCATATTCTAAAATTAGAAAAGGTTAATTAGATGGACTCAATTATAGGAACGAGGCAAGTATTAGAGAGTGTACCGATTTAATTGATTCCAAGGAAATCCTTATAAAAACAGCTTTGATCAAACTTTTCTAAATAAGTGATATGGCCGGTAGGAGTTTCAATATTTATTTATTTTTAAGAATTATCACTTTGATATATCCTGAAATTCCCAAGTAGATACACTTTGAGTCTTTGACTAGGCAAGATGTCTTTTTTCCTCTCTCTATATATGCTTTCTAACTAACTATCTCATGCATTAGCATCTGCCTATTTAAACTCCATTCTCTACTCCCACCTTCTCACACAATTTCACCAAATTTTCTATTTTCTCCCCTCACCCACTCTTCAAAGTTTCAAGAACTCATCAACTCTGTAGCAGCCATGCTGGTTTTGTCTCAGCCAGTTCTTGGAAACTATTCTCATACAAAAGCATGCAAATCCCCTACAGCTGGGATCCCAGTAGTGGATCTTTTAGACCCTGAAGCAAAGCACAAGATTGTGAGTGCTTCTAAAGAGTTTGGCTTCTTCAAGCTGGTCAACCATGGAGTCCCCTATGAAGCCATGGTGGCCAAATTGGAAGCTGAAGCCCAGAAATTCTTCAATTTGCCTCAGCATGAAAAGGACAGGGCTGGCCCTCCCAACCCCTTTGGCTATGGCAACAAGAATATTGGCCCCAATGGTGATATTGGTTGGGTTGAGTATCTCCTCTTCACCACCAATCCTGAACTCATTTCCCACACTTCCATTTCCTCTCCTGCCAGTTCTCAACCCCTCAGGTAACCCCCAAATCATTTTTCATTATACAATATTTATAATCTTTCATAGCTGCATTATTTATAATCTTTGTATATATTGAGATGTATGTGTACATTTATATAGGGGTCTTGTGAATGAGTATGTTGGAGCTGTGAAAAATGTGTCATGTGAAGTACTGGAGAAGATGGCTGAAGGATTGAAGATAAGGAAAAAGAATGTGTTTAGTAGGTTGATAAAGGATGATAAGAGTGATTCTTGCTTCAGGGTAAACCATTACCCACCATATTCAGACCTCCAAGAGCTGAGTGGGAATGGTGTGATTGGGTTTGGAGAGCACACTGACCCACAAGTGATTTCTGTTGTGAGGTCAAACAACACAACTGGTCTCCAAATCTGCCTCAAGGATGGCTCTTGGGCCTCTGTCCCTCCTGATCCCCACTCTTTGTTCATCCTTGTTGGTGACTCATTACAGGTACACACATGATTAAATATTGCATGCAATGGGAACAAATATATATGATAAAACTACATAGTACTTTTACCACATTTAGTAATGTATAAATATATTATATTTAAAAAAAAAATTAACTTTGTCTCATTTTAAATATTGTAATATTTTTTACTAATTGCCATTTGAATGCATCAATAGTTAAAATCTCACGTCAGCAACGGTGAAAATATAAGTGTTGCAGACGGAAGAAATACTTAGAATGTGGAAGTTATATTTCACTTTTAGACGAAAAACAAGAAAAAAAATTTAGTTTAAAGGTTTTGGTACGCAGTCTTACCCCCCTATACTAAAGCACAAAAAGACCGTGTCCGGATACTATTGATTGATTGAAGTTTCTAAAAATTTAAACAATACAGGTACTCACTAATGGGAGGTTTAGAAGTGTGAAGCACAGAGTGTTAACAAACAGTGCTAAGCCAAGGCTGTCCATGATTTACTTTGGTGGTCCACCATTGAAAGAGAAGATAGCAGCCTTATCATGCTTGATGGAAGAGGGGGAAGAGAGCTTGTACCATGAATTCACTTGGACTGACTACAAGAAATCTGCTTACATGACCAAGTTGGCTGCAAATAGGCTGTCCCTTTTTGAGAAGAACAACCCCCCTCCCCCTACTGCCCAGTGGAGTAACCCATCTTCAAGCAAATATGTATGACCATAAATTAGACCTTATCTAAGTGGGGGTACCATTTAATTTCTAGGTTCCTCAAAGTTGACCTTAACATATATTTCATCCATCTCTTTTATCATATATGTCTATATATATGATGAATGTGTCACCCTCTAAGCCTCTTTTCCCATCTTGTTAGATATGATATATCGTACATGTTTATCATTTGAAGTTTGAACTAATGAAATCCAAGGTAGTAATTATCCTCTTTTCTTATTGATTCATTTATCATGTCTTTTTTACTTTTTGAAAAATAATTACATTTTTCATTTAAAATGCTATAAACGTAAAACTACAGCTTCCTCATTTGTTTTTTAAAATGGGGTCATATATACCCAAATCTGAATAAAATTTATTAAAATAATGATGAATAATGATGAATATATGATTAAAATCCAAGTAATAGATGAAAATATGAGTTTTTATACTTACTGATGATAATAATAACTTTAGTGATCATCAGTATTAGCAATTTCACACTAAGGTGATCGTGATGCTATGCACATAGTAAATTAGTCACAGTTTTATCCTTATGTTTTATTTAAGTAATATTTAATGAAAAACATCTATTATATATAGGATATAGGAAAATGATCCGTATACTTTAGTTGGTTATACGATATTCTAAGAGTTAAATGTACAATTAATTGAAGTTTAATGAACATTATTCTGTTTCAACATTATTAAATAGGTTCTATATATGTTAAGGTGGTATATGTCTATATATAATTTGGTTTGCATAAAAGTTACATTATATTTTACACAAGATGGATGTTAATCGTAATCATTGAAGCAAAAAATAGACGGACCAGGTTAACTTTTAAGTCCAAAATATTTGATGTTTTTTCAACAACAAAGAACTTTTAATAAAAATATGCTTTTATACAGAAAGTGTATTTGAAAATTACCAAAATGCATGTATTACAAATATATTTACATATCTTCAAAAATGTGAAGTAAATTTTCAACATGCAAAGTATACTTTTATGCCCACATGAAACGTTTCAATCATACAATACTACATCGCATGCAAGTTAAAAGTCAAGACGCTCACATACACCACTTGCACGTTAAAGATGCAATTGTTTACATACAATACTGCACTGTCTACACGTCTAAAGATCCAGACGTTCACATACAATACTGCACCACATGGACATGAAAGATCCAGACGTTCACATACATTACTGCACCGTCTGCACGTTAAAGATCAAGATGTTCAGATACAATACTGGATCGTCTGCACGTTAAAGATCAAGATGTTCACATACAATACTCCACCATCTGCACTTTAAAGATCTAGACATTCACATATTATAGTGCACCGCCTACAAGAACTTTAAAGATCCAGACATTCACATATTATAGTGCATCACCTACAAGTTAAAGATCTAGACATTTACAACTTTGTCACCATCTTTTTATGAAAACCGATCCAATCCATCAAATCATCAATCTTTTAGCAATGATAAGCCATTTTTTCAAAATAAGGATAACTCATTATTTCTAATTCATTAACGGCCCCTCAAATTTCAAGGAGCAATAATGTAAAAAGCTTCTCCCGCTGGACATAGCGCCGAGTCCAAATGTTTTGAATGAGATTGAGAATATTCGCAAAATAGGACTAATTAGTATCATGTTTTGGCAGTACCAGACTTCAAACATGTCAATTTTTTTAAACTTGGTAGTAATTACTCCTATTTTGAGAATAAAAAACATGACAATCCTATTTTGGAATTTTCAAACTGTTTTAATCCTATTTCGGGAACTTTCTCATTGATATTTAGTTTAAATTTTATCGGGCTTGAAATGATTCATCACATATTTCAGTTTTATCGGTTTGATGTGTATAAACCATACACCTTTCGTACATTGAACCCCAAAGTGGTGAATTGAATTCAAGCTAAAACCTACTACATCCGTTCTTAAATAAGTGCAACATACTAAATTTTACACTATTCACATGTTCTACTATGACTACGTTTTATTTATTGATGTGTTAATATATTTTTTTTGAAAAAAATATTACTAAATTTGTCTCATTGTAAATTTTCAAAATCTGATTTTTTTAACTTTTTTACTAATATAGAGTAATGTATATTAATGGTCAAAGTTGTGTCTCGGCAAATGTGAAATGTTGACCGTTGCACTTATTTAAGAACGGAGGAAGTATTTAATTTCAACACCATTTTCTCTTTGTAATTCTTCTTATCATGGTGAATGCAAGCTAAAACCTATTTAATTTCAACGCCATTTTCGCCATAAGTGGTTCTCTCTGGGTTGGAATACCCGAGATGAAGAGTGGTGAAGGAGAAGATGGAGGTAGGAGTTAGTAGTAGTAAACGAGTATTAGTTTGAATTCACCTCAATTTATTCTTGTGGACACTATTGCTAATTCGAATTATTTTAATAAATACTTTCAGTATGGTTTATTATATTACAATCTCTAAAAGTAGAGATTATTTTTGTCAATTTCGGCATAAAAAACGGTCGAAAGTTACATCAATTATATTTTTCTGTTTTAAAATATAAGTCATTTATTAGACTGAGACTCGAATCCGCCATGGCATCATTTTTCTGTACATTTTACAAACGAAGAGATACCAATCATCGTGACAAAAATGACCAAATCAAATTGACAAACGTGAAGGGTCATTTTCGCTTACGTTTCATGTTTTAAACTTGTTGCCCTTAAAAAACATGATGCCAGAACAATTATATGGGACACCATGGGCGGTTATCCTCTTGACCCATAAAAGAGCCTTTCTTGCTACGCTATTTCTCCTGGCACAAAGACCTAGAAGACTAATTTAACTCACTTTCATATTAAAACTTAATCGTCCTACGATTATATATTACTTTTCTGTCCCACTATAATTGTCACACTTTTTCTTTTCTTTTCATCTCACTAATTTTGTTTCATACCATATTTGATAATATTTGTGTCGCTCTAATGTAATTTTACTTTATTCTCTCTTTATCAACTCATTATCAACCACATAGTTTTACTTTTCTTAAAAACCACATAACTCCCTTCAGTGCCAATATTAGGGGACGGGGGTAGTACTCCGTAATAAGTTATACGTTCAAAATAAACCAAATCACACATCAAACCCGTTTGCCAAATTGATGAATTTTTGGGTAAGCGGCTGAATTGGCTGAATTGACCGAATTATTAAAAAACATTAATTAATATACATTGTATTAATAAAATAGAGAAAAAATACATATAAAATAACTAAAATGTTCTTCTAACTAACTTCAGTCAGTTCAATTAGAACATGAATTTTGACATTACTTATTTCGATTATTACACAATTTAGTACGCGAAATAAAAGATTACGTGTTTAGATTTTTTTTACTAGTAATAAGACTTATAAGCTGAAATTCGGAACTGCCAAAGAGGCTGTTAGAATTATCATTTATATAAAAACATAACAAATGAAATGAAATTGATTCGTGAATAATATAAAAGACACATTAATATAATATCAAAATGTGTCAACATTTGTACGTAATAGGATGGTGGGAGAACAACTATAAAGGCGGTTTTACTTCGATCGAGTCCGTAGTGTAAACCATGCTCACCCCGTTTCATAACATAACGGTCCAGAATAGTTTAATAACATCATGTTTTACAACACGTTAATCGGCTAGATACCATTAAATTTCGATCCAGTAAGATTCCTTTTCAGCGTTTTGCTTGCCCGCAGTTTTTAACTTAAAATATCTAAATACTTTTAGTATTTCAACTTTTTGATTCTTTCTTTCATACCTTTTCATAATTCTCCGATCATATTTTTTACACCGTTTTATGCTATTCATTATTCATATTATTTCAACCTCAAGTTACTGCAAGTTAAGTAAAGTTTAAAGTATTACATACGTGTATATTATTGGTGTAAGTTAAGTAATAATGCTCTACCACATATTTGTAGTCTTTACTCTTCTATACTTTAAAGTTTAAAGTATTACGTACGTGTATAATTAAAGAGCTTCACCATTTCATCAGGAAAATAGGTTATAATAATGCATCAATTTTAAATATATGGCATTACTTCATATGTGTAAACACATAAAAAATTAAATTGTAAATCCAAATTTGACACCAATTGCGTATGTCTAAAAGCATCTCCAATGATAATTAACATAAGGGATGAAATGGCAAAGCAAATTAGCGGAGGCTAGCTATCTAATTGCAAGAATATTGAGACTCTTGAACAAAAATCATAACTATGAATTGTAATGAATGAAATGGCAACATTTTTTCAAACATTACAGTCATTATAACAAGGTTGAGATCGTATCTTTTCTAAAATGTTCTTAATTGAAATTTATAGATACAAATGTGACTAAAGCTACTCCAAATACAATCGTTTGTCACTATGATGTATAGTTTCAACCAAATTTTAATCACTATAAATTACTAAGTGAATTATTTCATCAAGTTTTAAATTTTCTAAATAGAGAGAATGCTTGTTTTATATATTTAATTATTCATGTTTTTTATTATAAAGAATTTTTTAATTATTCATGTATAAAAATTACCACATACTTTAAAAATAAAGAATGATTTATAAATTATTCTAAAAGTATTTTTTTATCCCCGTCATCCCTACTTTTAAGCATCTTACAAAAATAATTCTTACTGAAAATATTCACAACAATAATCCCTACTAGTAAACAGTTTCAAAAACTAAAGAGCAGTTACTAACAATGTCAACTTTTCCTTTAAATTTCCGTTAATTTTAAATATAATGAAGGAATATATATATATATATATATATATATATATATATATATACGCATTAATAATAGATTTAAATCTTATTTCTACTATATATTTAATTTAATATTCAATATATTTCATAAAATATAATAGAAATATCCAATAAGAGAAATATATGATAAAACTTACTCTATTAGCTTTTATTCCTTATGAATGATTTATTTACTTCATTTTTTATTGATTATAACAGATATTTCAAAGTATATGATAACTATATTTAACTTAAACAAATTGAATGAATTGATATCTCCTATAATTTGAATGGATGAGACAGCAATCACACCAAAATGTAATTGTAATCATATTTACATTTATTTGAATATACAGAGTTTCATATATATGAATGTAAAGGTATTTATTGTATAATAATTTAATATTTCATCCGTTTAAAC